ATGGATTTATGAATGAGTTCCCTATGTACTGGAAGACTGTCATCCTTGTATTGAGGGATGGCTGATACAACAGTGATGACGATTCAACCCACTTTTTGCCTCTCTCATTAATGCCCCCTGCCTCTGTCTCTTTCCTTTGTATTTCAGTTCTTTTCTGCAAGTCCATTCATAGCATCTGAGTTTCCTGCACAAGCTCACACATCTCTGAAGCAATTAGTCTCTAAGAAACCACCCTGCCCTACTTTGAGACATGTATATAAGATACACATGTGTGTGGAGGTAGTGGGGAGTGTATGTGTGTGTGCACGCAAGCATGCACAATGTTGATAATGATGATGACTGAAGAACAACACATAGCAACTCTTCATTTTTCAGTGTTTCTGAACTTCAGTGGTTATTGAATTAAAACACAGTTCAACTCTGGTCGTTATCCTCAGGATTCCTCTCAGTTGCTACTACCATATTTAGTCAAATACAAGATGAACCCCTCCCCCCCCCCACCATTGTCATGGGAGAAAAAGCCTCTTGTCTTACTTTCACATATGAAGACATATCACTAAATACATTGTCTATCATTAAACTGCTGCCAAAAGCACCATGTGCTCAGCAAGGAAACCAACTATGAAGTTGATTAAATGCAGCCAACACTGAGCATGACTATAGAAGATATGGCCCACTTTGGGTAAACATGCTGCTGGAAACTGTGTGTGTGTGTGTGTGTGTGTGTGTGTGTGTGTGTGTGTGTGTGTGTGTGTGTGTGCACGCCTTAAAAAATAAATAAATAAGGGCAATTGCTCTCCCAAGAGGGAATTAACACCAGGCCCGGAGGTGCTCCACTACCAAGCCAACACTTGGAGAAGCTGGAACAAGCTCTGACACCCTCCCCTAGTGCCAGAAATGCTGATTGGAACCTACCACAGAATAGGTTAGTGTAGCCTATCTGAATAAGATATACAGTTGTGCCCATTAAGCACAGTCCTTTTCACTGCCAACTCTTCTATGTCATGGTAAGCTACAACATTGCATGCCAAGGCTCCCTGTGTTGGCCCCTCCCTTAGCCTGGCACATATGATAAGTGTGGCCCCGCTCTCCATGAAGTACAGCCAGACCAGGTTGCCCTGTGCCTCATCTGTGTATACATTTTTGGAGCATCCCAGGACTTGTGGCAAAAAACACTCAGTTCCAGTCATAAGTGGGAGCTAATTAACACACAGATCCTTTTTTGTTTCTTTTAGGGAGGGTGGAGGGGGAGGCTGAGAGTAATGAGAGAAGAAAGGGGCTGCTAAGGGAAAAAGTTATGCAGAAGCAGAAAGCAAAGGACTACCTGACCCTCCATATTAATTTTCCCTGCTGTAGCAGTCGGAGGAGCACAAATATAAGGCAAACATCTAACAATTAGATTTTATACCTGGAAAATTATAGTAGATTTATAAATTTTCCATATATAACATCTAATTATTGGAGGTTATTTTATAATCAGAGTATAACTTAGTATATAAATTAAGGGTATTTTTCATTCAGATACAGGATCTCTGCTGGTGGGATTAGCAAATTCACAAAAAGTTGATGCCCCAGAGAGGTCTCATTGAAGTGATTTCACTTTCACAGTAAAGAGATGAAGTAAGCTGCAGGATAAAGTCTGGCAATGTAGTTTCTCACTGAAAAGTAGAATTCAAAGGGTGGTGTTTTAAGCACTGAATTAGAATAAATCTGTTGGAGAGGAAATGAACAAAACAAATTAAAGCACTTTTTATTTAAAGTGAGCAAAAACTATGGTTTCCCTTATAAATGTGAGAATGTATTTCATACAGTTCTCTTTACTGTGATTTTTGGACTCGTATTGTTTTGCAGCAAGGTATACAAATACTTCACCAAATACTATCTGTCTTCTACCTAAAACAGTCTGCCCTCTGTTGTTAGCAGATTGACTGAAATACTGCTGCAATACCTAGCCTGCTCTGTTGTGGTCTGATATATATATTTTTTCTAGGTAACCTATCTGTTTTTGACCCAGACAAAATATTATTGATAAAATGTATTTTATGAGTAACCTATTAAAACAGTAAATGAAAGGGGAAAATGATGAACTTGGCAGATTTACAACAATTTAACAATCAGTTATCAGAAATAATAAACCAATTTCAGAGGATTATTGAACAATGTTGTCCTCTTTTATTTAAAAAAAATCTTTCATTAGACTGACCACAGAAGCTACCTTGCTGCATTTTCAAATATAATCACAACAAACTGTAGTAAAGGAAATATAATTTTGTCAGGATAGCAGAGATATAATAGCAAATAAAAACAAAAAAATAGGTAAATGGAAAAGGTTATTTAGGAAAGTGTTACAAAGATTCAAAATTTAAAAGCATTTTTGTTAATTTTTTTTTTTAAATGACAAGAATTGTTCCCATTTTAATTTCTTAAGCTTTGATCCTTGAAATGTGCTTAATTTTAATACATGAGCACCTCTGCTTATATTACTATTATTAATAATAGTAATAATAATAACAAAAATATCTATGTATATATTTTCAGAATGGGGGTATTAGTGTGTCTGTTCTTGGTATGAAATATTTTGAGTTATGCTCTTGTTTACTGTGTGTGGCAGGGGTTGAAGGAATAAAAGAGGTAGTAAGATGTGCTTTTTATAACTAGAGTTTCCTTTTTGGTGCCAATAATTAGTTATTTTAACAAACTAGAACTAAAACGTGGGACAGAGCCGTGTGTGAGAATTTCTTAATGCAAAATGCAAAAACCTGCTTTTGGTTAGTATGGTTTGCCACGTATAGGAAGTTTGAAGGATGGAGAAGCCACAATCCACTGTGGTTAAAGGTTGTGGAGAATGTGGAAACTGCTTTTCTAAACAAATTTCCAATTACCATAATGCAAGGCCCCCTGTGGCCCAGAAGTCAAAGTGAAGATAATTGTGTTTACCAAACACACATACAAAAATATTGTTAAAGAGCTCTGAGGCTACACAGCAAAACAGACACCAATACAACAAAATATAATACATTATCATGTATTACATTGTAAAATACTGCTATAAAAAAGGAGAAGGAAAGCCACTGGAAATAAGTGTCACAGCAAAGAGTAAACTTCCAGTGCTTTTGCATCTGTCTCTGTCTTCATGCCTAGAGAATGTTCTTGAATGTCATAACTTTTATATTGAGAAAATAAGCAACATTAAGAATAGGATAAACCACTTAGGTCTTCAGGTCTCCTTTTTTCTGAAAGGATGCTTGAGATTTGGTTAATTTTTCACAATGCCTAGCTAGGATTTGCCAGATTTTATGTTTGATCTTGTATCCCACTATGTCTCAAATCATTTTATGATTGCAAAAATATACATATAATATTTATTATTTACTAGTGTTACACTTCTTTAATTATAATTCAACTATGCCTCTCTAAAATTTCTAGCATTTATTTATCACTTCACCTTTTCAGAGCAATAATAGAATAAACTAACCCTTATGATATGTCTGTGGCAGGGGTGGGCAATTATTTTGGGCGGAGGGCCTCTTACCAAGTTTTGGCAAGCTGTCGAGGACCTCATGGGTAGCCCTGCCCCTTCACAGGTGCCCTGCCCCCTGGTTGCCATCTTATGACTGGAAGTCCCTTCCCTTAATCCCTCCCCTTGCCCACTGAAGTACTCCTTTCAGCAAGGGGGTTTGCCGTCTCAGAATCAGAAAAATACCAAATTATATTCTAAAAAGTGAACATCTACAACATTCATTAATTGGTTTTAAAAAATATTTTTGTCTTTGTTTACATGTGTTTGTATAGTGAATGCAGAGGTGATCGTATATAATAGCTTAAAATTACGTCTCACTCTTGTATATTGTGGGGGGGTAGAGGTTTGTGGGGGGCTGAGGATGTGTGGCTGGGGAATTTGGGTGGGGATGGGGTTTGTGGGGGGTTGTGTGTGTGGGGAGGGTGTGAGGGTGTGCATCTATGGCAGTGGGGGGGGTGTGGATCTCACCCTACAAACCAACACATACTCTGTGCCTCCACACACACACACACACACACACACACTCTCTCTCTCTCTCTCTCTGCCCCTCCCTACTCTCACACTCTCTCACACTCACTCTCTCTCTCTCTCTCTCTCTCTCTCACACATGCTGCCCCTCCCTACAATCCTGGCCCTCCCCCCCCCCCCCCTCCAGTACTGGCATAGCCCTGTGCTCCCGTGGTGCATTGATGCGATTGGGAGCCACATAGTGCTGGAGCAGTGTGAGGGAAGGGAAATGGCTGGAGGTGGGGTGGGGCTGGGCTGCTTTGTCCTGCTGGCTCCCTCTGGGCCCTACTGCCCCTGTCTCCTTTCATCTTTGACAGGCAGCCAAGAGCAAATAAATATTAATTTACTAAATTTTTTAGGGGACCTGCGGGCTGGATAGAATGGCCTGACAGGCTGGATTTGGCCTGTGGGCCGGATTTTGCCCGCCCCTGGTCTATGGGTATGCAATGTACAAATTGTCTCTGCTGCATAGATGCAGAAAGGGAGATTAAGATCAATAATCTGATTTTTAGGTCAGCGTGTAATATATCCTTGGGAGATGTAAATATCAGTGGAACTGCTACTTGTCAGCAACTTAAAAATCAGGGTATAAACATGCTAAGGACCAGTGAGGGTATGAATGTCCAAAGTGAGATTAGAATGTTGAAGTTCATTACTCCAATCCCATTCACAGGAGGGTAGAATAAGGAATGTGCAGTTTTCCATAAACTGCACAGTGGTTGTTGAGCAATCCTAAACAATGCATATTCCATTTCCAAATACAATAGAAAATTCTAATTGGTAACTTCTTAATGTTAATGATATCCATGTTCTTCAGTTTTGTGTTCAACTGAAGTTAGCTATTTTTTATATATTTCTGAATTGTGATATTCATCTAGAATATCTATTTTCTATATTTCATATGTAAGAAACACAAAGGTGATCATTAAGTGGCTTTCTACTGTTCTAATTGTACCATTTTTTCCTTAGGGTTGAAGACTTACTTGATATCTGGTCAGAAAGTCAAGGAGCCCCATTGCAGTTGTGCACAAGCATTGCTTTCTGGCCTGGAGTCAGGGGATGGTACCAAGGTACAGGCAGTGCCATCAGTTGAGAACATTGGTGACATGACAAAGACTCTCAGGCACTCAGAAAATCTGAAGGTTAGTCCATTCAAAAAAAAAGTTAAAAATGTTTTTTTTTAATTCTATTCATCTAACAAAGTTATTGGCCAGATTTTTGGGAGAGTTGATGCTTGCTTGCTTGTTTATTTTTGTATACAACTAGGGACCTACCAAAATCAAGGAAGCAGGCAGGCAATTTTATGGGCTGAATGCGGTCCCCGCAACCATTTTCTTGGTTTTTCACAGCAAAGGCCCCCCATGCTGCCAAATGGCTTTGTAGCCCTGGTGGAGACCCACCCCTCGCCGATGATTGGCCACGGGGGCTGCCATTCATGTGGTTCCACCCCTCTCCACTGATTGGGCGGTCCTTTTGGCTAGTCAACCATAGAGGTTGGAGGGGGCAGCCACCAGCTTGGCTCCCTTTCTGTGTGTCAGTGGCTGTGAGAACAGCTGGCTCCCAGTAGGAGCCAGCATATTTTCAGTAAGTGTCGTCATCGTTCCCCGTTTCCCCCCCCCAATTCAGCTGAAAATCATGGAGTATGCTGCTTTTCAAAAAAACCACCTCAAATTGTGGCTTCTGTGAAAAACACAAAATCATGATTTAAGTTCCTATATATAAAATAATTTATGGCTAAAAAGGAACAAATAAAGACCAAAATGAAACAGCGGGGATCCTTGTTTTCCCTTTTAAAAAACCGTGAATTCTCTGATAAAAACTCACAAATTCTCTAATAAAGCGTCCCAAATCCTTGATTAAAATTAAAGGCCCCCTACATAGCCCCCGCAGCCTTGCTAGTACCCCTCACCGTGCACCAACAGCTCCTGCTCCCCTGCCCGTGGCAGGAGGCGGTGTGTGCTGCAGAGGAGCAGAGCCTACCTCGCCCCTGCTGTGGGCTCGGGTGTGGGGGATGACTCTCCACCACAACATGCACTCTTGGGTAAAGGGGGGGATCTGCACCCCCCAGATCTGTGCGCAGGGCAGGAGTGGGAGTGGGCATAGGCTCTAGCTCCCAATCTGCTGCCCTCCCCTAGGGCCTCCACAGCCCAGTGGGTATGACCTGGCACACCAGGGAACAGCAGGCACACGGTAAAGTTGCTTGCCGTGCTACCCTGCAGTGAGGGCCCCTCACTGCTGCCATGCAGTTGGGATGTATTGCCAGGGCAGTGTGGAGCTCGCAGCTGCAAGTAGCTTTCCTGCATGGCAGCACACTGCACTGCCACACTGGGTCGTGCCCACCGGGCTGTAGAGGCCCCGGGGGAGGGCAGCAAGGTAGGAACCCAACCCCAACCCACGCACAGATCTGAGGGGTGCAGATCCCCCCTGCCCCCAGGAGTGCACGCCACAGCAGGGAGCCACCCTCCCCCTCCACCCCCTGGACAAGCCACCTGCGGCCCATCTAGCTCCCCACTGGGGTCCTGTAGCCGCACACTGCAGCCCTGGGCCCCAAGCCACACACATTGCCTAGCTGGGTGGCAGCCCCAGCCCTGCCCAGCTGTCTTCCTCCCTCCCAATAGGGGCCTCAGTTTCTTCCCTCCCCCACTCTCTGCACTTACCTAGGGGAGCTGCTCTCCAGGCTGCCTGGAGCCACGTGAATGTACATGTACATGGTGCCCCCTGCCTGACTGCCTTCCTCCTGCTCCCTCCAGCCCCCTGCAGGCTGGAACTCTGCCAGCCTGCAGAGGACTTGTTGCAAAACTGCAAAATTTGTGGGTTTTTCTGTTAAAATGAGAGATCCACATTTTACTCCGATAAGGAGGGAAATCCGGATTTTACTCTGGTTTTCCATGGGAAATGAAAAACCTGGATCCCTGAACATCAGTCATCTAATTACTGGACAGGTAGTATTCAGTCTACGTGGTTAGCTTTAAAATATGCCACTGACCCAGGTGTGTTGTGCTACCATCTGCAAGTAAAGATGGTCAGAGGAGCCCAAAGAAAACGGAGCAAAAACTGAAGCTGTTTCACTCGTGAGGAGATGAGAAAATGCTAATCAGGGCAGCTAAACTTTCCGAATACTTAGCTGCCAATGAGAGTATGGTAGAAAGAAACAGGGCTAAGCTGATCCATAAAAATGAGCTGCAAGTCTTAGGGAAAGTAGTTGCATCTAGTTGCTATCAGACTCTGCAATGAAGTCTCATTTTGGGAGAAAAGTGTACCAGTGTTAGGGACTTGCCGGTACTTGAAATTGGTTGAAGTTTCATTTTTATTATTTCATATCAAAGTGATTTGCATGCACAAACAGAATTTTTTTGTTGAGAATTATACTTTGCAGATAAATGCACATTAAAAAAAAAGATAAGTGGATGCATCCTTATCCTGGAACAGTTGTTGGACCCCTACAAAGTCTGTCCAAAGCCCCCACTGCCTTGTTTGCTACCTGGGTTGTCCTGGTTACCTCCACCCCATCTAATATTCTGGGGTCACTATTACTGGATACTTAAATTTTGACATGCTTGCTTAGAAACATTACAGTTCTTTGAAAATGCTGTGATATGAAGTCAAATTACCTTAGTCATGAGGTAACCGTGCTTTGTGTATGCACTACTTACACAGCAGTTGTTGGGTATCACTTAATGTGTATTTACAATATCCACAAGAAGTTTCAAGCATAAGACATTCCCTAACTCTCTCTTTGAATGTGTTACCCATCAGTTCTCTGGTCAAAGACTAGTTGTGACTGGAGACAGAAAGATTTGTTCACCAATTTTCAACTACAATCAGGGAATTCAAACAGTGGTAATTCTCTCCTTTAAAAAAACCCCAAAAAGGCAAGCAATTGATTTTTTTTTTTTTTTGCCAGCCAGAACCTAGCAGGCTTTAGAGTTTAAACACACACAGAGATGCACATGTACACGCACACAACAATTTAACTACTCCTGCTGCTACTGCAAGCACAGGGGGTAAGGGGCAGCGGGGAAGGCTGTAGGTTCCCTACTACCACTCTCTGCTCACCTGCACGTCTCCCCAGGCACACGCTGTTTCCTTAACAAACGAGCCAGCCTGGCTTCAAGGCAGGTGACAGCTCAGCGTCAGCCCCAAGCCTGAGGCCAAAGCCAGAGCTGAGCTACCACCTGCCCCAGTCTGGTACTCAGATACAATATGAGGCTTCCATCTTCCCTCCCCTCGCTCATGCTGGTTGGGGTAAATCCCTCATTTTGGTTTCGAGTAAATACAATATATATTTTGGCAATCGCCATATTTGGCAGTCTTATTCTTTTGCTATTGTTAGAAATCATAATCTACTATAAAAGTGTTATAATCACCAAAGACTTAAATTAGCATGTGGTTTTGCCTGCTCTGTTGTTCCTGGAAAACATTAATCTATTATTCATTGTGTCTGGCCCACACACACACTGGTTATTTATGAATATCTAGAATAAGTAATTACAACCATGGCACTGACTTGTCTGTATACATACACTGCAGATAAACTTCTTTCTGTTTGCAAAAGATTATGCTCCCCTTTTGTGGTTTTCTCTTCTAATCTAGCCCCAGTCACTGACTGTTTGTGAGGATTTCAGTTGGTTATTAGCAAGAGTAAGTAGAGGGTGTTACTTTTAAAAATTTCAGCATTAACAAACTTCGGTTGATAAGCTTATTGTCTAACAATCTTGGAAGGGATAGGGCTTTTTGGTCTGTTTGTAATAATCTCTTTTAAAGCCTTTGGCATTGTATCTATAATATTTATATAGAAACATCCAAGATAATTAGACAGAAAATCCTGAAAATAGGTTAAAGCAGGCCTTGAAGTGGGCATGTGATGCAACAGAAATGAGTGGACCTATGAAGAAAGATTTCAAAAAATGTTGAAACCTCTCCTGTGTTCACCGTAAACACATCCTAATTCTCAATAGCAATCCTTATTCTTAAAACTAGAAACATGAGATTTTGTATTCCAAAATGTGTTAATATTAACTGTTAGAACTTGATAACTTTGATTTCCATATAAACTTGACATAAACTCTCTTGAATGTTGCTAAATTTTGGCCTTAATGGCATCCACAGTTACCTTTTACTGTATGGAAAACTTATTTCCTTTTTTAACCAATTTTGAAATTCCAATTTAATTTAATGTCTCTTTTTCGTAAGATGAGAATAAAACTCCTGATTTGTCTTCTCAGAAGTATAAGTCATTTTTTTTACTTTTGTCATTTCATTGTCTCTGTCCCCAAAGTTATCTTCTTTCTGAAGTAAATAATCCAGTCATTTCAGTCTCCAGGTTTTTCCGGTCTCTAATAATTTTCATAATTATTAGGGACCTTCTCATCGAAGCCTTGCTCTTGAGAAATTAACTCCGATGGTCAAGCCACTGCATCTGGATGTCTGAGAACTGCCTCCCTCACCAGATTCTCTTCTCCCAGCTCTCTATTGGCCAATGCTCAAAGGTGGCCAAAGGAACCACTACAAAGACATGCTCACAGTTGCCTACAAGCACGGACCAACCCTGGGCTGTGAATCCCACACCTCCATGCAACAACATGCCCCCATTGCCAAATAACATGTTCATCCAGAATCGGGCACCTCAGTCACCTGAGGACCCATCAAGCCTGATGGATGTTATCCTCAACTTCAAGGGACCACCAATGAACACTGACTCTGTGGATACGGGGGTCGCAGTCTGGTTTGCCTTTCCAGAAGAAGGTGTACCCTCTGCTGACCTCCCTCAGTTGTCCCTCCCTGGCAAGCCAGGTTTCGTTGAGAGCAGTGATGTCAATGTTGTGCCTCACTAGCTCCTGAGCCACAATGACAGTTCGTCTTTCTGGGCAATCGCTCTTTGGGTTGTCATTGAGTGTTCTCACATTCCAGGTTCCGAAGTTTAGCTTTTTCTTATTTCGACCACAGGAACGGTGATCCCACTGGGTGCGGTTTCCCAGCCAGGAGAGATAGGACAGCCTATTTTTGGGGTACCTTTTCTAGCCTCCTCCCAATCTGGATAAGCAGAGGGTATCCTAAAAAGGGCCGCTCAGTCGCAGACATAGCTGCTGAAGGACACCCCTGTCCTGACATAGGTGCCTAACGACCATCGTGCATCTGCCAC